CTCCACCATTCTCGAAGTTGTCAAGGAGGATGCGGAGGTTACCGCGCGCAGTATTGCGACAAGACTCGGATGTACCTGGATATCTTGTCAATGATCGTTACGTTAGGTACAGGTGCATGTGAATACATGCAGCACGGCAGTCGCTTCATACCAATGCCTTCGCCTCATATTTTAGTTAGCCAATGAAGCAATACGAGCATCAGGTACGGTCGTCCGCATTTCTGGGGGGGGGGGGCGTTCGGGTCGGTACATTGTGGCTTGGGAGGGCCTTATTAGACCTTCCATGGAAAAGGCGCTACACAGCGCCTGCTTAGGATTGCGGAAGTCCGTCCTGCCGGGCGTATTAAAGAGAGCACCGGCCGCGATAGAAAGCCTGAACGATGTTGCAGAAATGTGGGAGAACTCGCCAAGTGAATCGTCTATGGAAACGAGATGCCAAAGGGAACGTTGGAAACGCCGTTAGGCCTCCTCTAGCCTCAAACAATTCTCCAGGTAAAAGACCGAAAAGACCGCGCGCTGGGACAATTCCCGTCGGCTGATTCCCAGTAATGAACCCTATGACTCTACAAGAGACATTGAATGCATCCACTCCATGATACTTGCCCGGGAGCATTACTTTTGGCTGGAAGGCCGACTTTGGAGGCGGAGTCTGGAGGCGGAGTCACTGGAAAAAGGGATGTACCACTGAAGCAACTTTGCGCCTTAATTCCTTTACCGTACAACTTTCCGCTTTCGCTACGGAACTGGCACAGGGTTGTCCACTCCGGACCCTACCTTCCCTCATAACCTCTCGCATTTTCATAGGTCATCGCGGACCGTCCCTTCAACCAAACTCGTCTTTAGGGATGAATCTGTTTTGACCTGCATCACTTTTCAAACAAGGTTTTGGTGGTTCATGTGATAGGTTACATGTTTATTGGTAACAAATAGCACATACACATTTAGCACATACACATATAGCATGACTACAATCACCAAGGACTACAAGCATAAACACATGAAACTATACTACTACAATATTTGTGTCGTGAGTGATTCAAGTTGTGTTGTCTTGTGTTCTTCTTCAGGCGATAGCGGGTCCGCAGTGTCTTGTGTCTCGTCTCTTGTGTTGGCACATCGTGCTCGTTCTTGCCACTATGTACTCGTAGTGTTCGAGAACTGCTGTGGAACAACTGCGAGAAGAAGCCGTGAAGAACTGCGAAGAGAATGAGCGAGAGTGCCGTGGGGCTTCAGCCACCTTTATAGCCCTGATTATGGGTGGTATAAATACCGGCTCAGGTGGGCGGTACCAAGGCCTCCTATTGGTTGGTTACAGGCGATGAGCGAACTTTCTAGAAAATGTGTGTTTTGCGACCCGTGCATCCTAGTCATCATGACCAAGGGTCATGAGAGAATCGTGCCAACTGCCTCTAAAGGCAAGGCATAAATCGCTATACAGGTGTAGGATTTGTACAACTGGCTAACAGAATTCCGTGACCTCGGACAGGCGCTGCGTGAAGGAGGGTACCCCTATAACGCCCTATTGAGCAACAACTTTACGTCCCAAACGCCTTCCTTGCCCGCCCGCCTACTTTTGGACGTATAGGATCCCTCCACGAGGACGTGCCGCTTTGGACCGTTTTCGTGGTGGGATCCTACGTGTAATGTGGCGTGACGTAGGAAAAAATTCCTTCTTCCAGTTGTAAAATTTCTGGTTTTT